GGTCTCTGGAATTATTGGGTTGCTCTGCGAGTGGGCTTTTAGGATTGTAGGTTAACGGGCATGTATCATGTATGACTGTTGAGGCTTTCCCCCCCCCCCCCCCTTTGGTGTTTTATTTCGCTTGCGGTGGGATGATGGCGTTATTGAGAAAAACTTTTTGAGCGTAATACGGTTACACACGAAATGTCATGAAAGCGTTGGGAATGAGCAGCAGACACTCGGCCGAATCCTATACGCCGCACGTCTGCTGTGAAGGCAATGAGGCTTTAACATGGCCCCTGCCGGACATCTCTCCGAAGGATCGTGCCATGTTATGTGCGTATCACATCAGAAGCCTGCAATATGTCTGTTTTCTCTCTGTAACACCGAGTTGTGAGAAGTCTTTATCAAACAACCTCTCTTGGCAAATTGGGGACCGCTCCACCAAACAGCCCTTCCATGTGAGAATACCAAGAAACAACGAACCAAAAAAAAAAACTCAATGGTGCCATGCATCATGTGATGAGATCATGACCTCGAAGTTGGTCCTCCCCGCTGAAGAGACATTTGGGTCATGCGGGGGATGATGGGACTCTTCTTGCTTCACGTCTGTCGATCCTGGGGTTTTTAGGAACTCCAGTATTCCAATTCTCCAGACTCCTCCAGACTGCAGAACGCGACGACGCAGAAATCTGGAGTCTGGAGTCTGGAGTCTGGAGAACCAAAAAAAAGGGGACAAAAAAAAAGTGGCGAGGTGGGAACTGGGGTAAAACCGTAGACCGCAATCAATGGCCTAGACTCTGCAGTTTCTCACTAAACCTAAAGAGCCCCATCAAAAAACCCCCCCAACCCAAAATAATGATTTGGATTCCTTGACTCGACTCGCGTACCAACACCCAAAGACTCGCAGAAGAAACAGAGACCGAGACTAGCTGCCACCTGACGTAGAGGTAACGCCGAGACTAACGTCCCCTTCCCCACGCGAATCCAGGTGCCGGCGCCGTGGATATTCGGTCCGATGCATCACGCGGGCTAAGACGTAGCTACGCAGTTTAAAGGTAGTAAGTAACAGCTGAGGCAGCTAATGCGAGGTCTGGTCGCCCGCTGCCCTGCCCAGCCCAGCCTGCCGGTAATGGTATGCGTAGTACGGAGTCGCAGCGTACGATGGTTTCTCTCGCAAGAGCCTCAGCCGCGCCGGCGGGAGGGAGAGACGCCAGACGCCTCCTTTTTTTTTTTTTTTTAATCTTCGGGGGAACCACAAAAAATACCTCATGGATGGATGGGACCAGAGAGTACTGAATCAACGATTTGGATGGGAATGAGTAGTGGACTCTGGGATTGCACTATTCGCAAGCCCAAACGTTTTGTTGGGATCTAAATCAGAATAAGTCCCTCGATTGTCGATGCCCAACTCTCATGACACCATCAGGGACACACTTTCCAAGAGAACGGTATACCTTCTTTCGTCACGGAGTACTTTGACAACTGGACAGATCTGGGCAAACGACACGAACTGCGACATGGGCGGCTGATGAAGAAAATAAAGTGGCAGCAGGGTTCACCTCGCAATCGACATAGTGTAGTGGAGACGTGAACATTGCTGCCACGCTGGCACGTGGACACGTGAGATTGAACATGGCGACAAGCTTCCGGCTTTGCATCAGTCATGTCGCCAAAGTGTCCTTTTTACCTCAGGTTGCGTACGAATACATGTGATATGGCATAGCTAGGTCTGTCTGTCTTGCGCTGCTCGAGGCCGGTCTGGGTATTGTCCTCCTCGAAACCAAATCCACTCCTCCTCCCCAATTCCTTGCAACTTGCTCCTAACGATACACACTATATAGCACGCTCTTATCAACCCCCATTAAGATTAACCTCAGCAGCGCGCTCCAAGGATAAGAAAACCACCGTCCGTCTTCTCATGAAATATTATACACGTAAAGCCCCAATCCATATCATGAAAAGTACCACCAGCGGGAGAAGCATGTTGACGATGACAGTCTAGTCCACTGGCTCGCGCAGCATTTTGGAGATGTTCTTGTGCATTTGGGCATACTTGTCCTCAAATGTCCGTTGAAACTTCTCACATGCCGCCCACATGGGATCGCCCTTTTTCCAGTACGTGTAGCAGTTTTCGAAAATCTGGCGCACGTCGGCTGCAAACTCGTCTTCTGTCTGGTACTGATGTTGCGACATCTTGAGCTTGACTGTGTTCAAGTCCATGGGTTTCTTCACCTTGTCAAAGTAATCGGGTACACCATCCTCGGCTGGGTCGACAGGTTCCTTGAATGGACCAACAAGTCTCGTCCAAAAGCCTGTGGCGAGTCAGCTTGTATGCCTACATGTCATGATTCGCCAATGCTTGACCTACCAGGTCCTGATAACATTCTATCAAGCAGATCGGAACAGAACTCAACCTTCTGCTGGGTCGTGATTTCGCCACTTGGCCCCGGAGCAATGCTGCGTCGTTTCTGAATGACGGGCTTTTGGCGGGGTGCCGATGCTGCTGCCGCTACAGCCGCCGCCTTGCGGACCGGGGGAGGTGGCGCGCGAGAAAACGCCTTGTCTCTATTTTGAGACGCAGGTAACGGCGCAGAGGCCCGCCTGTTCTTCTTGGACATGTGTTCTTGTTCTTCTTCACTGTCTTCCTCCAGATAGTGCACACTCTTTCTAGGAGTTGGCTCGGCGGACGCAGTATCGGCCGGTGCTGCAGGCGGCGTAGGCAGGTTCTCGAGTGAACTCATCGTCACGACCAGCTCGCTCAGAACCTCCTGAGGGAGAGACTTGGCAAACTCGGCTTTCTTGTCGGATGAGCGCATATATTCTGCTGCCCACGAAAGAAGGAGCTTCCGAATAGTTGAGCCCTCAGGGGTGTCCTTCCAAACCTGGACAAGAAGGGGAGTGGCGGGGATGTTCTGCGTGAGACGTCTGCACTCTTTCATTGCGTCAAGACTCGTATCGCAGAGACCATCAATACCCAGTTCGTGACCCAACTTCCATACACCAACAAGTGCCTCATAGGACGGAAACGTCTCGGCATCCTCTGAGACTTCTCCAGTGAAGAGAAACAGCTGAGCCAAGCCGAAGACCTCCGGTGTGTACTGTGGCAGCTTCACCACATTCTCAATGGCCTCGGAGGCCGCGTTCTGTCCTTTGAAGTAATCGTGGTAGTATTTTGATTTGGCACACAAGAAGTCTCTCTGAAGGCCAAACGGCTTCTGTTCGGTTCCGACGAGGACGATGGCGAACGTTGAGTGTGGCTGACTAGGAGTTGTTAGATCAATGGGCTTGTGACATCAATGTCATCACCTACAGCCATGAGAACGGCATCTCCTGCTCCTCCGTGGGCTCTTGCTTGGCCTCCGGAGTGGCAGCCTCGGGGATGCCATTCGAGGCGGCGACCGGCGCTTCGGTTGACATCCTGGCCTGTACGGTGATGTGGATCGACCTAGATGGTGTTAGTCGAGCTGAAGAAAAACTCCGATTCGTGACAGCCACTCATGGATGTCATCAAGCAAGGATGCATAAAAGGAAATGGGCATATGAGCGTCCAGGTGATGAGAGAGAGACTGCTTTATAACATTGTCGTCGTTCACGGGAGTGAATCGTCGGCATGAGAGTGAGGTTGTGTGAGTGAATCACAGCATGAGCCAAGCTGTGGTGCCTGTCTGATGCCAATCGGGGTGTATTCAGACGCAGACACGCAGGAAAGAAAGTTTCTCGTATACAGGGATGTGAGGGATGAAGACAACTTACAATGTTGTTCAGGTGTCGACGAATATGATGAGATACAATGCGGAGCTTAATGAACGAGGTAGCTGACGAGGGACAGGTGGTCGAACCGTGGTCTTACAATCGCGGGTAATGGCGACGAAAAAGTGAATAGAATACAACGCAGACAATGGGAGAAGATGTGTGACAATAAGATGGTGTGTTTGATGGCATCCAAAGGATGAAGAGAAAGCGTGTAGTTGAAAATTTGCTCCCTGGGACGTTCTTGCCAGACAGACTCAACCTTGAGAATGAAGCGGGAAGGTGTGAAACGACAGCACCTGCTGTGGCTCCCCGTGACTGTAGGTGGCCTGTGCGGGAGCTTCCTCAGGCCCATTGTTCACGTGTTCCCCGGCGCCCTGGTCCTGCCAAAATTGAGGACCTGGAAAGGCCAGCTTACGCCACAGTTGCTGTCACGGTGCACCGCCACTTGACCATGAAAACCAGAAGGTAGGGACGTTTCCATCTCAAGGTTTCTGTAAACCAAAGAAGGTTCTTCCATCACCTCCTGCTCGTTGCTGTCATCGATTCATCAAGGATCTTCGCAATCCTCCGCTCTTGCCCCGGCTGCAGGGCCATGGCTAAGCGAGATCGACCGTCCATCAGTACCTGAACGGAAAGTGCGAGTGCATCCTGTCACGTCCCAGGAACTCGGCTTCGCAATCGAAGGTTGGCAGGCACGCAGGCATGTATTGGACTTTATCAGTCTCCTTATCCTCGGAGCTCGCCGTAGTCAACGGCCACACTTCCCAAAAAAGTTGTCATCGCGGACCATTCCCCTTGGTCAACAGACAAACACACCGCGACAGTCAACACGCCTTGTCGAATCGCATTGGCGCTACTGCAAACCACTCTCCCGATTATCGCCCCGCGCTCCAATTGACCTCTCACGTCCCGTATCTCGAGCAGGTGGGAGTGCTACCCCCCACAAATGGGCCCTGGTCCGCCGACGGCAACGACGGCTGACAAGACTGACAAGCACTTTTAACTGTTGGCCAGCTTCCTTTTCAAGTCAAGAGCATTGCCAACATCGCTTCCCGTGTGGAGATTGGAACCTTTTTTTTTTTTTTCCAACCATGCTGGCCCCAGCTGGGAAGATAGATAGAGAGGAGACTGTGAATATAAAGTGTCGCGAAGCTGCGCAAGTTGATCCAATTGTCGTTGTGTCGTTGTGTCGTTCCTGTCCCCTTGCCTCCGGTCTCCGTCAGCTTTTGTGAGAGAAAACTGCAAAATCAGTCAATCCCCCAAAAATGTCTCGAACAATTGGACTTTTTGCCGTCGCCGGCCTGTTGCGCACGGCCGCTGCCGGCCTTTACCCGGGACTGACCACCGCCAACCACACCTGCGCTCTCGGTAAGACCTCGGTGAGCCCTTGAGGGCCTGCGACTCAACTGACGATGCGCGCCTCACAGTCGAACCCATTCTGTCTTGCTCTTGCGGCGCAAACCCCGACAAGGTCGACACTTGCTGCGTCGAGACGTACGGAGGCTTGGTGGTATGAATGAATCCTGTCCATCTTGAAGATGTTGGTGAATTAACTGTGAACTTTTGTGGTGGACAATAGCTCGCGACGCAGTTCTGGAACACCCACACCGGTCTCGAGGCCGAGGGCCAAAAGCTGCCCGCCGACGCGTGGGGCATCCACGGCCTGTGGCCCGACTTCTGCAACGGCTCGTACACCCAGTACTGCGACCTCAGCCGTCAGTACGACCCGGCACCTTCCCCCAACACCACCACCGGTAAGGCGGATGGCACTCCGGTCCCCGCCTGGACCGGCGTCTCCCTGGATGAGTTCGTCAAGCCCTTTGAGAAGTTTGATCTTCTCGAGTACATGAAGAAGTAGGTACCCTCGTTCATGAACAAAACCCTCGCCTTTCCACAGAGATATATAATCTTACAAAACTGCCCGTATTTTAGATTCTGGATCGCCCAGTACACCCCCAACTGGGTCCTCTGGGCCCACGAATTCTCCAAGCACGCAACCTGCTTCAGTACCTTTGACGTGGAATGCTACGGCCCCAAGTACCAAGAACACGAAGAGGTCGTCGACTTCCTCGAGACCGCCGTCCACTACTACCAAGAAACCCCGACCTGGAAGTGGCTCGCCGCCAAGGATATCACCCCGTCCAACAGCACCGCCTACTCCCTGTCGGACCTCCAGGCCGCCCTCAAGGAGGGCCACGGCGCCGTCCCTTACCTGGGCTGCTACGGGCCCCGGTACAACGCCACCGAGGCCGGCAAGGGCTCTCTGGATAACGGGTACACCCAGCTCACTGAGGCCTGGTACTACTTCCACGTCCACGGCAAGCCCCAGCGCGGGGACGCCGTGCCCGTCGCTGCTGATGCTAATGGCGGGCGCGTGACGAATTGCGCGACTACGCCTGGTGCTATCTGGTACTATGAGCGCTCTGAGGGTTCGGTCCAGTAGGAGCATCGTATGGTGTTGAGCATGTGAAAAGCATATAAACATACTAGTAATCAGTAATCTCCTGCTGCGCTGCCATTTCTGAACTTCAGTGTATGATGTGAATACTAGATGCAAAAAAACCACGTTGAATAACTACGCAGGGCCGATCTAGCTTTTTGTCGTCCATTGAGTTAGCTTAGGAGAGCCAAGGTGACCAAAATGCTATGTACCGAGATCGCCTCTGTCCTTCCCAACCCCACGCGTCAGCTAGTTTGGACGATGGGTATTCTACTCGTACAGTCCTTCCTTCAGCTAATAAAAAATCCCCAACGCCTGTTTGATGCGAAACTGTCCACCTCGAAAATGCATCTACTCCTCATCATCACCAAGCTCCTCCACAGCTGGCGCGACGTAGCCGGGGCGTTGCGCGGGCTGGGATGCAATCTGCGTCTCCGTAGCTGTTGTGGTCGCGGAAGCCGGGAGGGGCTGGCCAGTGGATGCGGCAAAGGTACCGCCAGCGCTCGAGGCGCCGGCAGCTGAGGCCTTCTTCTTCTTGCCCTTCTTGGGAGCAGTCTATTTTTTTTGTTAATCATTGTCCAATGGCGTTCATCGCACAGGGAAAGTGGCACTTACGTCGTGCCAGGCCCAGACGGGCTTGAAGCTGTCCATGAATGAGACGTCCTCCCACAGGTTGGGGAACAGCCAAAGGCCGGGAGATGCGACAAAGTAGGTGATGCAGAAGAGAATGACACGGAAGATGGCCATGAGGAAGAACAGGCCGAGCAAGCCCAAGAATCCCCAACTGAGGTAGTAGACGCCGAGACGAAGCTTGAGGGGCCAGAGGGGGTAGCAGACGACGATGAAGATGAGCACGAGGGCGAGGATGGAGTACAGCTTGCGCTTAACCTGGCTGCCCTCCCAGAACCACGCGTAGTACATCTCTTCCTTGGCCTCTTGCTGAGGCTCGATGCGGACGGTCCAGAGACCCTTGATGCGCTTCGTCTTCTTCGGGCCGTGGTCGTGGCCTTCGTGGGGGTCGGTCTTTGTGACGCGCAGGGCAAGCATCGACATGGGAAGAAGCTTAAAGGTGTTCTCGAGAGACGCGCGATCGGTGATCTCGGGCAACTCGGGGTTCTTCTTGCGCGCCTTCTCGTAGGCGGGGGACTGGAGAGCGCGGAGCGCACGCTTGACTGTAATACGAATGTCAGGACTGGCTTGAATGACACAAATCACGATTACTCAGTACTTACCCTTGAACATGTCCTTGCGCTCGCCATTGAGAATACAGGTACGGGGCTTCAAATCCTGGGCGCGCAGGAAGCTGGCCAGCGCAAGCGCAACAGGGTTGGGCGGGCCAGGCCTAATGGGCTGCGGCTGGCCCTGCTGCGGCTGCTGCTGCTGGTGCTGATGAGGGTGAGGGTGCTGATGACCCTCGTGGTCATGATCGTGATCGTGAGCGTGATCATGGCCGCCCTCTCCACCTTCGCCGCCCTGTTGCTGCTGCTGTTGTTGCTGCTGCTGACGCATGGCCATCTGCTGCTGCTGCATGGCCTGCTGTCGGAGGTGGTTGAGGAAATCCGGAACACTCATGCCGGCCTTTTGGGCATCAGCCTCTATTTGTCTGCGCATGGCCGCGATCTGCTCAGGCGAAGGCATGGGCTGGCCGTTGGGGCCCATCTGCATAGGGCCCATGGGGCCGGGCATTGGCATCGACATCTTTGAATGTGGGCTAGTGCTCGAAGGCAACCAGTGTTTTGGAAAGACGTGAGGAAGAACTCTGAATGTTCTCTGCCAAGGTTGTCGGCGGGATTGGAGGAGTCCGGCGACAATTGGGAAAGAAGCCTGACTGCTGGATCAGTTTTTGTTGGATGAGCGGGAGTTTGACCGTGGGAGCTGCGGTCGTGGGCTGGGTCTTTGAACAAAAAGTGACCAGCAAGCAAGCCAGGTGTTCACTTCTGGTCCAAAAATCCGTGCAGGGGTTAAGGTCCGTCCCCTCCACCCATTGGGTCCAATTCCCGTCCATTGATAGAAATTCGGTAATCTCTTTCTCCGACACCCGTTATCGATAAGCCCATCAGCCCACCTAAGTGGAAGGCGCTTTGACCACACCCAAACTCAAATGTCCTCTGCATCACAGGCAGGCACGCGGGTTCAAACGGTCGAGCTGCCTTAGTCAGCCATCATATCATGTGACCTCCCTTCGACCCACTATCATGTTATGGATCTTAATGAATCTTATGTCAGCTATCTTACATCAGCAAGACACTTACCGAATCTCCTCTTTTCCTCTTTCCACTGTGGCGGCTCGCCCGAGACATTCTGTTTGCGCTAGAGTAACACGAGCAACTCTGCCAAAGTCTCTCGTCCACCAGTTTTCTTCAGACCAAACGATGACGAGGGACTCCGCCACAGTTCCCAGCAACGGCTTCCCGACACTATTTTGCTAGACTCGAGTCATCACACGTCGGAGACTTCTTTTCTCACGATCCGGCTGGGTCCCGCAACCACTACAGTCAGATTCATCGCGACAGTCGTCAAGTGATGCTGATTGCCCGAGAGGCTTTTATTAGATGCAGAGAAAATCGAGAGGGGCAACTCGCAAGTACTGGGGCAAATGCAAAGCGGAGCGGAGCAGAAACAGAACACAACACCCTCTCTTGTTTACCTTACCTTGCATATTGTCCACAGTCGCCATCCGTCGGCCAGCCCATCGGCTTCGCCCTCCCCGTACAACCATCCAACGGCGATGGCGTCCTGCAGTATTAAACCGGAGACATGCTGAGCGACGATGGGAATTGTGACGGCACAACACATCCCCAAATCCGCACGTAGGCTTCCCGCGTTACCCTCCCTGCCACCCGCGGTGCCTTGCATGCAACAGTGATTTCTCATTGCTTCCCGTTCGCTCAGGTTGGAACATGTCACTGAGCGACTAGGCTAGGTTTGTTGGTTTCTGTTTGGATAGACAGTCAGCCATCGCCCAGTGATTGGTCACAGGGCCTTATTAATTGCCCGACTGGAAACACGCACACACGGCGTCGAATTACCCTTCACTTCCCAGGCTTCAGCCCGTTGCCCTGTTTGTCAATGATATTCGACAAAGGTGTTCGTGGGCCCGGCGCCCCAAGAGATGACAAGGGGCGGTGACGGGTAAGGTGTGATGTATCGCAGCATGACGGTTCTTGACTGGCACGAGACCCTCGTTGCCTCCCTCCCCTCCACACCCCTCTGGTTAGCCCTCTGGAGCCCTCTCTGGAGGGGCACTTGTGGCAAGCAACTGCTGGTCAAGCTGGGCAGTCCAGCAACACAGAGCAAGGCAGAGGTGAGACATCGACTCGCTGAGCCATCGTCTTCATCTTACACGACTGGTGGAGCCCTGCAATCTGGTGCAGGATGATGGTGTGCCGCCAGCCATCCGAATCCGACAAGACCCCAGCTTCCTAAGCGCCGGTTGGCCGGCCGTGTCTGGCCCGTTCTGCGACCCCGGCCTATCAGAACGGTCCGTCTGCATCTTGACTGCACACCTCGCCGACAACTGCTAGGCCCATGTCCCCTCCATGTCCCTCCATCTTCTTCTCAGCTGGACCTATGAAGCAAAGCACTTGTTCAAATCTCTTGCCCAAAGTGGGAATTGGGATTCAAAATGCCTCGACTACGTGACAAAAAAGACATCAAGTCGGCCACACCCCAAGTGGGTTTTCCTTTGAAATTGCCTACTACCTGTTCGGAACTGTTCGCCTTCCACGACCAAGGTACTTGCATACCTTACCTTGCTTTGCCTCAAGGTCATCCGTACCCATTCTATTATAACTCAATCGGATCGCTCGCTCTCTTGACTCTTGTGCTTTGCCGCCCTCTTTGCATCTTCCCTTCTTTCGTCCTGTCAAATCGCTGGCCGTCTCTCGTTTTTTTGTCTTTTTTACCCCCCGTCTCCAGCAAATGTCCGGCATGAAGCTATCTGTAAACCAGGTAGTATGAAGGGTCTGAGTGGCATACTTGCAGACGCCTATGCGACATGGCTTTCGCCCCTCACAAACTGCTGCGCTCCATTTTCTGACTCCGTAGAAGAGAAGCCGCGTCAAAGTGAGTTGTGCTCTTTGGGTTCCTGGTAGCAATACACACAAAAAAATATCCAACTGCCGGTGGGACTAACACGCACACTCCGCTTAGACACCTTTGTCATTTCTGAGAAACTGTCACCACCACACACCGTAACCCGCAACCAGCCCGTGCCCATGCCGCCGCCTTTTGCTGGGACAACAATGCAAAGGTCAGCCGGACCTCGCCCGCAGCCGCAGGGGAAGTCGAAAGGAGTGAAGAGAAGTTTCGCGTCGCTCCGGGAGCGGTTCTCTGTGAGAAAGCGATCTCGCTCAGACTCCTCGTCCTCCTCATCGCGCCGACTACAAATATCGGCCCCCAGCAACTTTCGCCATCTGCATTCAGAGTCTTTTCAGTTCCCCCAGTATTCGAACCTCCAGCACGTCGGCCGGACCCCGCCACCGCGTCCCATGCCGCGACCTCGCCCTTCTTCCTTCAGGCCGCTGGAGCTCAGCATATACGTGCACAAGAGGGAGCTCTCGCCGATTCTGCCGCACTTTGACATGCTTACGCCGCCGCCGCGGCCTGCTGCTCAGGTCCATGTCCGGCCGAATCCCGACGACGATGTATTCGGACCCTCGCATGAGCCCAACTATTCCCCCATGTCGTTCCATTTGCCCCGGAAGATGTCGGCGTCGCCATCCACCCTCGCTACCATGGCCAGCGATACGCCCCCGAAAATTCCGCCAAAGTCGAGGGCCCGGTCTCAGACGTCATCCAGCGCGAGCGCCGAGAGGATGAAGGAGCGGATTGCCGGAGCCATGCTTGAGGTCGACAAGCTCCAGCGCGAAATCGAGCTAGTCATGGAGCGTCAGAGCATCTACGCCAGCAGCCGGCCTTCGACTGCCCATTCGATGGCACTGACAGCGCACGGTAAGCTCAGACGATACCAAATTTAGCACTTTTTCTCACGCGTGCGTTGTAACTAACAAAAAGGCTTCTAGACCTGGAACCCATCCCCACGGTCCCCGCCCTCCCGCCATCTGCACCCTCTTTCGCCGAGCGCCTCAACCCCGGGGCCGAGCGCCCTCACACGGCACCACCCCGGCCGCCGGTGCACATTCCCCACCGCGGCACGGCCTTCGCCGACGCATCGGCCGCCTTCATCACCCCACCCCCGAGCCGCGGCAGAGAAAGCAACCGGCCGCCGCCCCCACCCCCACTACCCCTCGTCCTGAGACCCCCCCTCCGCAAGAAGAAATCATTCTCCCGGGTATCCAGCTGGCTTTTCCCCGGCGGAGGCAACGCAGCAGAGCAGCATACTAATCACCACGGACGGAGCATCAGCCACGATTCCATCACTAATTTTCCCCGCCCCGTCAAGGGCCGCGAGGGCTTCTACCAGTGTGTCCATGCGCCGCGGGACAGGCGCACGAGCGTGGGCACGGCGTCGACTGTGTCGACGTGGGAGGAGTCGGACGACGACACGGGAGGAGGCCAGACTGTCCCGACGACGACGTGGTCGCCAGGCAGCACCCTCGCCACTAGAGCGGAGGAGCAGCAACCACCTCTGGAGCGCGTCACTACGTTTGGGAAGGAAAAAGATGCCGGTGGTCCTAGAAGGACCGGCTTCGCGGCGGTGTTTTGAAACCTTGGGATGAAGCGGTGGTTCTTTTTTTCTTGGTTTCCACCTATTTTCTTTCTTCTGCATGATACCAACGGTTTTTATTGGGAAAGAACAAGATACCATGTTGTAAATATTATGGACTAGACGGGGTTGGAGGCGGACTTTGTTTGTTTTCTGGATATCTGATGATGCTAGTGGCGCCTACGGTACGGCAGCATAGGATCGGGCAGGGCTCGGGGAATTATTGGAATGATGAGACGTTTTCTGATGGTGTCAAAACCGCCTCTCTCAAGGCTACGTGAGAGGCTACTCTAAGAGTCACTGCGGTGGTTCGATCAGTAGTATACCTGCTTATACGTACGATCGCTCGCACGCAATTGTTGTTGAGACGCAGTGGATTTCAAGTGGCCTTTTGAGGAGCCCCAGCCGAGGCGATCAAACGACCTATAGGCGACCAAAAGCTCTGGCTGCAAATAATTAGACTCAGAGTAATTAGTTCAATGTCGTTTTCTTGAGACTGTATTATTGGAGCTCCGTGCACATTGCTTTCTCCCGTGTCTTTTTTCTCTCGAATGCTCCGACGAAGCGTCATCTGAAGTCAGATCTTGAGCACCATCTCTTACGTCCGTCCATCTTAACTCGTTCGGTCTTCGGCCGAAGATAAAACCTTCAGCCAGATTCTTTTCAGTCGAAATGCAATGATTCATGCTACTGCGCTGCTTGAGGTGGGTATTACTGATGGCCATCTCAAAAGACGTGTTCCCGAGCTTGGCATGTTCATCACGTAATGATCACATATTCGGGACACTCAGAAACGGCAAATGCCAGCAAAGGGTCACCAAGCAGGAAATGGACGAATGGTGTTTGCGATGGTAACTTCCGACATGGGGTCGTTCGGTCCGGGAATGCCCACTGCCGAAGTCACCACGCCTTCCTCTTGCATGTAACCCCGGTAAAACCCCAGCTGCGTTGGAGCTCTCCCGTTTTGGACGTCTAATAGGACACTTTTTCGAGGCAGCATTTTACTCCTCTCCCAAACATCTTCAACATTTTTCTTACTCTCCTCACATGACCCTCCTCCTTATCGACAGACCTATCGAATAAAGCAGCCTTATTTGAACACGATGGGTGCGGGATGCTGCTCCGACGAGCCTACCAAGGACCATGGATGCGCGGGTCCTGCAAACGGTAGCGACCATGGGCACGAACATGAAGATAATCCCAGGCTTGACGACTGCTGTGCTGGCGATGGAGCATGCGACGATGCTTTGGATGTGAACTGCCTGGATGAGAACTGCGATGCCGAAACTTTCTGCGATTCCGAAGACGATTCGACCTGTCGCTCCATCAAGCTCGAGTGCTGCACCTCCAAGGAAGAGCACTGCGATGGTACGAGAAATTCCCCGTGATGTCATGTGTACATTGTCTAACACCGTACGACAGAGAAGTGTATCGTTGCTGCTGCCGCCGTCGAGTGCGAGAAATCCTGCGAAGACGACACAGCCCACGATGGTATGCTATGAAATCCTGGTCATCGTCAAGTGTGCTTACAGCTCACAGAAGTAGGTGCCCACGAGCATTCCCATGACAAGGACGGTCGCCATCCAGCCTCTGCTTGCAGCACCCATCTCTCCAAGGCTTTCGAGCAGTACAGCGCCTATCTCGAATCGGCCCGTTGCATTTGCAGCAGCATTCTTGATCGCGGTCTTCCAACCGCCTGCTGCAGCGAGCAAAAGCCCGCCGTCACAGCCGCAGCCGCTCCTGTGAAGTCTTCCGCCGGGAAGAAGCGCCGCGAACCTGCCGAGGCGCACACGACCGCGCATGCTCATGGCCAACACAAGCATCATCATCATCACGGGATTAAGCGACGTGGCAATAAATCGCAAGCCGTTCACGACCATGACATGGCCATCAAGCCTATTCGCGATGATCAGTCCGACTGCTGCAGCGGCCACGACGTTGAAGCTCCTGGATCCGCTTACGAGAAAGGAAACCTTGCCATTGATGGCAACATGGACAAGGATATCGAGAAGGATGCTGGATCCGAGCACGTTGCCCTCGTTGTCGACGGCATGACCTGTTCTGGATGCGGGAACAAACTTGAACGAACCCTCAAAGGGATACCTGGAGTGTCTGGTGTACGAGTCAACTTTGTCATGGGCAACGCCGAGTTCACTCTTGACGGTTCTGCAGGAAAGGCCGACGACATCATCCGCAACACCGAACGGGCGACGGGCTTCCATTGCACTCGAATGTCGAGCGACGATCAGACGCTGGACATTCTCGCCTCGGGCCCGTCTGCTAAGGCGCTGACTGACCTGGCGATCGTTGGTATAAGCGAAGTGAGCTTGATTGACAAAAGAACTGCGAGAGTCATCTACGACCCAGCTGTTATTGGAGCTCGAACGCTTTTCAACAAAATAGGACCGCACTCGACTGGACTAGCTCCCCCTCGCGATGACCCGTCCATCGCAAGTGGAAGAAAGAGGATGTATGATCAACTGATCAAGACGGCCGCCGCGGCGACTCTCACCATTCCCGTCGTTGTTCTCGCCTGGGGCGAGAAGCTTGAACCCAAGACACGCTCGATTATTTCGATTGTCTTGGCGACTTTCGTTCAGCTCATAGCCGTGCCAGACTTTTACAAACCAGCCATATCATCTCTCGTGCACAGCGGCGCTGTTGAGATGGACATGCTGGTTGTCATCAGCATCACGGCTGCATATGTCTACTCGGTTGTAGGATTTGGATTTCATATGGCTGACCGGCCACTCGATCCCCGCGAGTTCTTCGAAACGAGCACCCTCCTGATTACACTTGTGCTTCTCGGCCGCTTGACTGCTGCTTACGCACGCATTCGTGCCGTTGCTGCCGTGTCCCTGCGTTCGCTACAGACGTCAACTGCAGTTGTTATTGAAGATGGGAAGGATATTCAAATCGACGCCCGCCTCCTCCAGTACGGCGACAAGTTCAAAGTTCTCCCGCACTCGGTTGTTCCTACAGACGGCCTTGTGGTCACTGGATCGAGTGAGGTCGACGAGTCTATGCTGACTGGTGAGAGCGTCCCGGTCTTCAAAACATCGCGTGACACTGTGATCGCAGGCACCATCAACGGATCCGGCACTCTGATCGCCCAACTTACTCGTCTCCCTGGGAAGAACACCGTTACCGACATTGCCGAACTAGTCGAGGAAGCAGCAAATTCCAAACCAAGGATCCAGGACATTGCAGATCGTGTCGCAGGGTGGTTCGTGCCTGTCGTCACGGCCGTTGCCATTGTTGTCCTTGTTGTCTGGACCGTCATCGGTGTCAGAGTTCATGGCGAACCGACTGGGAAGTCGATCTCCACTGCCATCACCTACGCTATTGCTGTCCTCGCTGTCTCTTGTCCTTGCGCACTCGGCCTTGCGGTGCCCATGGTCTTGGTTGTGGCCGGCGGCATTGCCGCCAGAGGAGGTGTCATCATCAAATCAGCCGAGTGCACCGAGAGGGCTCGAAAGGTTAGCGATGTCGTATTCGACAAGACTGGGACCATAACTGAGGGCGATCTTGACGTTCTCGAGGAACAGATTCTCCTTGCCGACCATGACGAGGCTCGTGCCATCACCAAAGCCCTTGTGGCAGGCAACAACCACCCCGTGTCTACGGCCTTGGCGAAATACCTTGCCTCACGGGCAACCCGCGAGGTCAAGGTTACCGATCCTCGAGTCATCCCTGGCGCAGGTGTTGAAGCAAGCTACAATGGCCACAAAGTCTGCGCCGGAAACCCCTCGTGGACTGACGCCAATGCTCTGCCTTCCGTCATCCGCTTCCAAGAGTCGAACATGACGATCCTCGTCATCACCAGTGACTCTATCCCTATTGCCATATTTGGATTGCGCACTCGTCTTCGTTCGGAAGCAAAAAAAGTCGTCGCTCAGCTCACACGTCAAAACATTGCCGTTCACTTGGTTTCCGGTGACCAAACTCGGGCCGTTGAATCTGTCGCCGCCCAAGTTACCATCCACAATGTGGCGTCTCGGCGCACCCCATCGCAGAAGCGTGACTATGTTGCCTCGTTAATGTCAGAGGGCAAGATCGTCATGTTTGTCGGCGACGGAACCAACGATGCGGTGGCAGTCACCCAGGCTGATGTAGGCGTTCAACTTGGCAGCGCAGCTTCAGCCAGCGATGTCACACGCGGAGCTGCAGATGTAGTTCTCCTTGCAGGCCTCGAGGGTATCCCCTTCGTGCTTGAGGTCAGCCGCGCCAGCTTCCACCGCATGGTGTTCAACTTTGTCTGGTCGGCCGTGTACAACGTGCTCGCCATCTTGCTTGCCGGAGGCGCATTCGAGCCTGTCCACTTCAAGATCCCTCCCGCATATGCGGGCTTGGGTGAGATGGTCAGCGTGATCCCAGTCATCGTCGCTGCCCTGACAATGTTGGGGAAGAAGATCCGAACCGAGACCTAAGGGGCAGGTGTTGAACACGTGTGGTGAGGCCTGGCTGGCACGTTCAACACCTGCGGGCTGAGGCATAGGTCGATTTTTTCTTTCTCGTCATTACTGGTTGATGACGGCTGTTCTGGGGGATAGGGATTCAACACCACCGACAAACGCAAAGGGATCGAAGTCTGGTCTGGGATTTTGCTTACTTTGCTTCGTTTACGAGTGCGATGAAGTCACTAGAGCAACCACGACATGGTTGCTCCACTGGGCTTCTCACTTCCGCTCGCTCTGAGGAGGTTCTTACTACAAGAAGACGTTTAACGTGCCGAGGTCTGCCACTCTGGTGCATGGCTAGAAGAGGTGACCAATCGGTTACGGGAATATGAATACAAGAGACTGCAATTGCTTGTCCAACCCTCCTTTTGCTTGTGTGACGGTTTCTTGCCAAGTTACGCCCTCGATGCGAAAATAGCCTCATTGTCATTCATGTGTCGAAAGATGTGTTTATGGGATACACGGGATGAGGCTTTTCACAGATTCTCTGAAAACTAATCTCTTTCCATCTCTTCCAGTTCAGCTGAACCTGACATGGCGGCTTGTGTGGGGAAGGGGGAACGCAGAGCCCTGAAGAGCCTCAGCACATCAGAGTTGTCTTATTACTGTGACCGAACAGCGTCTTGTGAAATTTAGGACGTGAGGTCTGCTGAGAGTTGTTTCATTCTCTTCAAGGGAAGATTCCATCAAAGTTGATTCGCCAAACGTACCTTGCCAGTGCCATGTACAGACATGTTGGATTGCACAGCGAATCACGATTCACACATTCTCCAACCTCACTCATTGGCCATATCGGAATAGACCTACCTACAGCCGATGACGTCTTGCAACAATAATCCTCGCACTTTGGTATTTGCATTGCCCAATCCAGAGACGTGCATTACCAAACAAAATCTTACCGCCCCGCCGAAAAGACGGGACTTGCTCCGGATCCACCGTGAAGTGCTGTCAACGGTGAACGGCCCCGCAGGAGCCCAGCCACCAAGACTCGGAGGGCAACGATGTGAACCAGCCACATGGAGCCCGGAGGACCAGCTTGTGATCTCGGACTCTCGAATCGAGCGCAGTCCACTGCGAGACGGGGTGTACGGATACAATAAAGTTATTGCGTCCTGCCATGAGAGTAAGCGTATCAAAGCATACAAGAACGTCAGCATCCTTGCACAGCTGCCATGGGAGTCGATGCTAGGGTGCAAATGTCGTGCAGGCGATGACAGCATATGTCATGTGCTGAGCGGTGAGAGAAAAGTATGAGGCGTCGTGATGCGAGAAGTGAGGCTGGGTGGCGACAAAAGTGTGGCATCGTCGCTATAGACCGTACTAACTCAAACCAACAACATGCAAAAGCCTGGCACATCGAGTTGACCACGTGAGTGGTCAAGGTGCGGATGTGACATGGAGCCGGGAGGATGGACTGCATTCGTCGGGATCGTGATTCTGGTCTTGATGCACCACGGAGGCTGACTTGCGTGGTTGGGTAAGTTCCACGATGGAGGTGGTTTGAGACCACCGACCAGTCACCGCCGGGCCGGATCGGTGTGTAAGCCGGTAAGGGTAGGGTTGCTGTTGGTCCGGCCGACGTCTGTGGGCGGCGAGGAAGAGAAAAAAAAAGCAAAGAAACAAACGCGAGAGGAAGTGCGGGCAGGGTTCAAGGTTTGACTCGTCGGCATTGCGATGACAGATTTGGCCAACAGATTAGATACCCGCTCTAAGCGCATGCGCGACTTGCAAGTGATGGGCATTTTTATTTTGAGTGACACTCTCTGCCTTGGAAGTTAACAAATAACGAATTTGCACGGGGACAGGGCAGTGACCCTGGATGCCAACAAGAGCCACGATGTGAAAGAGGCTGAGAATGGCAGGCTGTCTCATCCATGGTCGATGGAGAGAAATAACTCGGAGTTGCGAAATAGGGTTTATGCGTGCAGCAAGTGGCATCGTCATGCGCAGTGGGGGCGGATCTCGTTCTTGTGCACATGTCGTGGTTTGGCGACGGACGTGTGACCACCGGCCAAGCCCGCAGCGTTTTTGGCGTCCGGTTCCTTGGGTTATAGGCGGATCGTAAAGTGCGTTGGCGCTTGTTGGCTTCGGGCTCCCATGCAGTTGAGGAGGGATGGCCATTTGTACGTGGACTGGATGTAAGGATGACCGTCTAATGCAGGGTACTCGTTGGGCAACTGAACCGTCGTCAGTCGGTCCAGTGGTGGTAGGTCCTTTAGATAGACGAGAAGGTATAGAGAACTAAGGCGATGGATGTTGACCGAGAGTTTGCGAACACACCCGACTGTGAAAGTCTGAAGTTTCGAGGTCGGCGAGTGGAACTTTCTGGTTCCGTATATCGGCGCTTCACTCAGGTCCGGGCAGGCAGGCAGGCACGGCCACCATACAGGAAGACGGCAGGTTCGGGATGGTAACTTGACTGGCAACTGCAGCTCGATCGATCTGATGTCGTGCCTGCCGGTGCCTTGGACTGAAGCAACATAAGCAGCAGATTGAGCAGCAAAAGGAAGGCATGGAGGGGTCTTGGCACGGCTCTTGCTGTTTGTGTTTGATCTGCCCACCCAATGGAAGGCGCGGACCGGCACGAGAATGCGACTGCCAAACACTCACCTTCCTCACCTCACCTTAAGGTACCCTTACCTTAGGTAATACAGTACGTAGCGAGGGACTAAACGCTTATCTAATCTGATCATGCCCTTCTGAGCTCCGTAACCATCCGGACTCCTCTTTTGTCTTTGTCTTTTTTTTATCCTTCGGGAAGCGTTGCACATTTTTTGTTCGGGCTCAGACGGGAGGCGCCTCATCTTGCCCTTTTCCAGCAGCCGGTCGCCGCAGACGGGAAGCTCAGCCTCCTCACGTTTGTCCAATGTTTGTCCGTCACTACTTCGTACATACGTAGTACACTACCTATAGTATGTCAACTCCAACTTTTGCTTATGGTTTATTACCCGCTGCTGACGCCGCAGTCCCCTTGTTGCGCACGGCCTCTGGGGGTTCCATCATTTGACAGGGCTGCCCGGAACGACTACTTTGCATCGGCTTATTAGCCAAACGCCAATAGGCCCAAATACTCTGTACCATGCTCTCTTCTGGATAGGCCATGCAGCATGCCATGGCAGATGCGAATCGGCTCGTTAGAGTGGTGTCATCCCGCCATGTCCGCCTGATGCCCCCATTCTACCCGCCAGAGACCCACGAGCTACTAATTAGTAATGGGAGAGGCGTATCCGTACCGATCCTGATAGACCAAGGGACCAAGGACATGGGCTTCGCTTCCCGCCCGAGCCGTCGATAGCTTCGATAATCCCAACTCTGATCGGGTCTTGGCTCGACCTTCATAGATACTGCCCATTTAGCTTACGTGCCGTGTCTGTGACGCCTGCACCACGTCCTGCGGCCTCCGAACCTCTCCTCTGGGGCTGCCCAGTCTGCCTGCATGCCGTGTCGTTGGACCAGGCTGCTCGTTGGATCGTCGTCCTGCAGCCTGCAGTGCGAGGCAAGCTGCAAGTCGCGGCAGCCTGGGATCGCCGCAAATCGACAATTCCCCCTTGGAAAGCCCATCTTACCCATCGCTAAGGCGGCAGCAGCACACCCTTACCGTTACAGCTCTTCCAATGAGACCGGGGTCTAGAGGAACTTCTGCTGTGCCTTGCTCTAGTTGCACACAAGCCCGGCTCTCAAGGGACCATTCACCGTCTTTGCATTTGTAATGACCATCATTTCTCACAATCCGCTGTGCTGAACACACCGCAAGGTTGTTGATAGTGTACATGACATTGACAGCCGGCGGGCGGCATACGCAGCATGAACCTGGAATGGGATGAGGTAGGCTGGCCGCAGACTTGGCCGTGTCGAAAGAGATTGCATGCCTCCTGCTCTACTAAGCTTCCTGCTATGCTTCCCTTCCCCTTCCAAAAGCACCTTGGATCATAGTGATTCACGGCCAAAACACCACCGACTGCGGAGTCGAGTCAGGAATGTTGCTCCATTTCGTACGGCACGGTCCCAGAAGGGCACGAACAGAGAGAAGAGTGACGGGAATCCCTCCGCAAACACACAGACGCACAAGAATCGGATACAGGGCACAGGCGGCACCCTTGATCCCTCTAAGTACCTTGTTATCAAAGAAAGTTAATTCTTTCTAAGTCATAAGTACAAGAATACAGTTTTAATAAAATAGTATAGTACCTACCTAGTACTTAAATTAAGATGCTTTTTTAAGCTCGTTATAAGAGAAAGATAACTATATTACTAATTACTTATTATTAAGGTTTATAACGCTATAGCTTTAACCGTAATAGCTTTGCTTATAATAAGTAAAAAGTCTAATTATAAGTCCTTTAAAAGCCTCTCTTTAAGGGCTATAAGAGCCTCTAAGTATACTAAGTTAAAATACTTATTAAGATATTAATAACTAAACTAACCCTACGATAACGGCCTTAATAAAGAAACTAAAAGATAAACTAAAAAATAATATTAGAATCCTTATTAATATTAAGTATAATTTACGAAATATAATAACGTAGTTATAGAATATTAGTAATATATTTTACGCTAAGAAGACTATTATTAATACTAACGAAACGGACAGGGCCGTATTAATATAGTACCTTAGCTTCTTTTTATAGCTCGAGGATAATCGCCTTAAATAGTATTAAAAATCTATTAAAAAGCTCTTTTAAGTACTCTAATATATTTACTACTATCTCTGCGATAATAAGACTCCCAGCGCTTACGTATAAAAATAGGTTATTTATTTTTAGATAATAATACTAGCTTATTAATAAGTTATTAAAACTACGATTCTAGCGATCTCTTAAGGGAGAGGGTAGAATAGAGGAAAGGATAGGTAACTTATAAAAAGGGTTAAGGTTGAACAGTGCGGAATTCGAGGGCAGGGTAGCGTCTACATGTACTACGGCAATCCTCTAGTAATGCAAAACGATGGAGTTAAACAGTGACCCTTGATCCCTCATCCCTCATCCTAGGCCCCTTGAGTCCTTGACAAGCATCGCATCCGAGCGCTGACTGGCATCCTCACCTCCAGGCTCCAGGCCTCCCAAGCATGGACCCAACAGCCAGGATTAGGGCCATGGGTTGGAGGAACTTGGAGGAACTTGGAGCTGCGCCCGGGTCACTGGCCTTTCTGGGCAAGGCTAAACCCCCACGGACAACTGTCATTCGTCCACCAATCCGTAACTCGTTTTTTCTCTCGCTTTCAACCTGCGCCAGCGAAATCCCATCTGCACCTCTTACGTTGCATCATCTTTTCAGCCCATTCACACAACGTCCGTCATCCCTAGACGTCCGCGAAACCGCCGCCGGTCAACAATTCGACACCGGTGTGGTTCCCTACCTGCGCAGTAGTTGCAACTTGCCGCTCCAGCTTCTTGGGGTTCCCACCGATCTGATTCCACTCTAAACCCGCTAGTGTTCCTTTTCTTGGCCACCAAGTGGCTTTCCCCCGTCTACCAACCGAGACAAGCGGCCCAATACTGCCAAACAAAACCCGGTGCCACGCCTCAGCTCACGAAAGGGAGAGGGAGCAGCATCAAGGCAGGGCAGGGTAGGCCAGTTCACAGGAACAGGACCTCTTATTGCGGTCAACGTCTAGGCTTCCATTCAATCGTCCGAGTTGTGTCAACTTTGGCCAGTCAAGGTTCCGTGCCGTTCCGTTAACGCAGCTGGGCCACATCACACATTGAATCAGCACACAAACAGACTATCCGTACACTTCTCAGTCTCTCTCTTTCTCAGTCTCTCTCCCTCTATCGTCCACACCCCCGACGATAGCCACCCCCACCAAGCTACCATTCCCACGCCCACGCCCACTCCCTCCAGACCAGTCCGCCGCGGTGCCCCCCTCCATCCCTCCATCCAGAGCCCACGGTCAAGGTCCATGGTCCACAGTCCACTCACACTACTCGCGCTTCCCTGTCGTCTCTGTTTCTGACCCGTCACTCGTTGCTTCTTCTTGCCTGTCTGGGCTACTGCCACTGGCACTCGACTGGTGAGGAGCCATGAGCCAAAGAAGGGCATCCGGCCACAAAAGCAAGCCAAAGGCACCTTTCCCTCCCGACCCCGACGCCGATACGGTTGCTTTGGCTCTAGAACCTCTGCCTCTTCTTGCACCTGCAGACGGTCCCACGAACGACAGCACTGCCGCTGCTGAAGCTGATGTTGCGAACCCTTCGACTACCTCGTCATCCGTACAAACCGCCTCTGACCCATATAACACGGCACGCCACCCTCGATCTCGCCCTTCCACTTTGCGAAGCCGACCCTCTACCCTTTCCCACGCTTCCAGCGCCGGCGAACATGGTGACGATACGATCGAACCGATCCCTCAGTCTCCCGTCCCGCATCTAGACGACGGCATAATGCCTTCGAAACCTTCTCTCTTGCGCTCTTCGCGCGACGACGCCCCTTCGTACGGCGCCGTATCCCAAGATCCCAGCCGCAATGTATCACCTACCGGGAGTGATTCAAGGACGGGAAACGCACATCCAATGCGATATGTATCCGACACCACCAGATCAGCTTCCTCGAGGTTCTCCACTGCCTCGAGAAGGGAGAGCTCTCGTCTGTCCGAGGAGTTGGATGCTGCCGCCCTTACAACCGGGCTGGAGGGGCGCTTTGGTGTAACCCAAGCTCCGGTGACGACAAACATGCTCGAGGATGCAAAATCAGACGCGGCCGAGGATGAGGTGGACTACGATGACTACACAGGCAGCGAACCCGACGAGGATCCGGCTGATAATTCGCCTCACGAAGTCGTCCGCGCCTCGGTGCCACCAACGGATAATATCACCCTGTCCATCAACACTCCGAGAATGTGGACGCTGTCGTTTTTGTTTTCAGTGCTTGGTTCCTCTACCAACTTGTTCTTCTCGCTACGATACCCCAGTGTTGCTATTACGCCCGTCATTGCCTTGTTGCTTGTCCACCCACTTGGTCTCATGTGGGACTACCTCCTCAAATATCACAGCGATCCTGCGGAGGAATTTCTGGATGGTGTTCTCCAGACTGATGCCGTGAACCGGCCGCCAGCGAAACGATCCGTGACCCGATTTCGCAGATGGCTTGCGCAAGGTCGGTGGAACGAAAAGGAGCATACTTGCGTCTACGTGAGCAGCAACGTCTCGTTCGGCTTCGCTTTTGCTACCGACGTCATTGTCGAGCAGTCTAGGTTTTACCACCAGGAAGCCACAATCACCTATCAAATTCTCCTGATCCTGTCGACTCAAATCCTCGGCTACGCTTTTGCCGGCCTTACGCGTCGATTTCTGGTTCGACCCAGCGGTATGATTTGGCCCGGAACCTTGATGTCTGCGGCCATGTTCGGGACTCTCCACAAGGAAGAGAACAGGATCGCGGACGGCTGGAGGATCTCGAGGTGGAAGTTTTTCTACCTCGTTTGGTTCGGCGGTTTCGTCTTTTACTTCCTTCCCGGCCTTCTGATGCCTTGTCTCAGCTACTTCAACGTCATTACGTGGTTTGCGCCGAAAAACGTGGTGGTTGCCAACCTATTTGGCACTGTTTCTGGCCTGGGACTGTTCCCCCTGACATTCGACTGGGCTCAGGTCACGTATATTGGATCTCCCCTTTTGGTCCCTTTCTGGGCTGCGATGAACGTCATTGGCGGTCTCGTTATCGTCATGTGGCTCATTGCGCCTATCGCCTACTACGCCAATGTGTTCTATTCATCGTATATGCCAATTTTGTCTTCTGCGGTATTCGACAACAAGGGCAAGGTCTACGATGTGAGCAAGATCCTGACATCCGAGTTCCTCTTCGACAGAGATGCATACAGCAAGTACAGTCGAGTGTTCCTGCCCATCACCTATGTGCTCAGCTATGGTGTTCAGTTCGCTGCCCTGGCGGCGCTGCTGACGCACACGGTTTGCTGGCATGGCAAGGATATGTGGAATACGTGGAAAACGGCCATGGCGGAAGCTCGCAATGAAGGCCAGGCGGCTTACCAGCCTGTCTCGGGCAGCTCTGAGCACATCAGACCCCAGCGATCATTCAGCAGCCACGGAGGTCTCTCAAGATCTTCATCCAACCTCGAGGGCATGATGTTCCGAGAAGATGTTCACTGCCGGCTGATGAAGCGGTACAAGGATGCTCCCCTTTCCTGGTATCTAGCAACCTTCGTCTCGATGCTGGCAGTGGGCATTTTTGTCGTCGAATAGTAAGACTCCCCTCACAAATTGAATCGATTATAGGCTAACAGTATAGTTACCCCATCCACCTCCCGTGGTACGGCTTGCTCATGTCACTGGGGATCTGCGCCATATTCTTCATCCCTAATGGCATCATCATGGCAGTGACCAATCAGCACAGCAGCATCTACCTCATCTGCCAGCTCATCTGCGGCGCCGTGTTCCCTGGTCGCCCAATCGCAAACATGGTGTTTGTCACCTATGGCTACATCTCGTCAGCTCAAGGCATCAAGTTTGCCTCTGATCTCAAGCTCGGCCATTACATGAAGATTCCGCCCCGCATTATGTTTTCGGTGCAAATGGTGGCCACGATCGTGTCGTCCCTGACCCAGATTGGCGTTCTCAATTGGATGTTTGCCAACGTCAAGGGTATTTGTACGCCAGAGGCTGTTAATGGGTTCACATGCCCGATCGCGCGTGTGCACTTCAACGGCTCCATTCTCTGGGGTGTGGTTGGACCGGGCGAGTTTTTCGGACCGAACGCAACGTACCGCGGACTTGTGTGGTGCTTCCTGATTGGAGCCATCGCGCCAATTCCCCTGTGGCTCTACGCGCGCAAAAACAGGCACAGCATTCTCCGAAAGATTAACCTACCGGTCGTCTTCGGGTCCATGGCGTGGATCCCACCAGCGACGGGGCTCAACTTCTCGGTATGGGCGGTGGTATGCTATGTGTTCAACTACCTGGTCAAGAGGAGAAAGAGCGCATGGTGGGCAAAGTACACCATGACTATGAGCGCGGCGTTGGACTCGAGTCTGGCGTTCGGCATCGTCGTGGTGTTCTTTGGCTTCGTCTACCCTGGGCACATGAAGGGCTTCAAATGGTGGGGTACAGAAGTGTACAAACAGGGCTGCGACTGGCAAGCGTGCTCGTATAACACAGTGCCTGAGGGAGGGCATTTCGGCCCCGACAAGTGGTGATGCTTTTTGGCGACACGAAACGAAACGACTTTATGGAAATTCTTTGATACATTTTTCGGCATGGCAAGCAGGTATAGGGATGGCATAGTTTTTGGATTAAGATGCAAGAGATGGAGTTTTGCCATTGGCCGGGGTTGATTCAAGCCCTAGGGATAATCATTCACGTATTTAGAAGCACGTCATAGAGAGATGCTGCATCGCGAAATTTGATGCAAAGACCACTTTGGGTCTCGGTTTATGCCTGCCTCGATTCGTGCTGATGAATACAATCTGAAATGAACAGTGAGTCACAGGGTCCAAATAGAGAAACCAGTGACTCTTATTCCCGCGCGTAAGCTTCGTACACTACGAAGATCAAATCCGTCATCGTGGCTACAGACCGTTTGATGCCCCCTCGCCAAGACCCAACTCGGTGCTGTCCGTGCCGGGACATTGCCGACCTTCTCGAAACGGATTGGGGGCGGCATCTGAATCCTTCCGTTGTGGGCGCAAGTAAGTCGGAGAACTGTATGCGAGATTGACATTGCCATGAAGGAAAATGAGTCAGCCTGCCCCTTGCTGGGATAGGTTAAGCTAGGCGATTTTGGGGTTGGAATGAACAGTGAGGCCAAATTCGGGTGGATTGATCTTTGCGGCTGACGCTACTCTCGTATTGGCTGACGGGTGCTGTTGGAGCCGCTGCCGATTGCGACGTTCCATGGGAAGCGAGTGTGGGGGGTGGTTTCGTCCTGTATTCTGACGGCCGTCAGCACATTTAGGATTCGGTTTAGAGGATTGCGATGGGCAGGGGGCTTGGAGTATCGGATTGTTGATATTGAGAGGGGTTGGAGGTTCGCGGGGTGAGGGGCATTGAAGTTGAGGATTTAAGAGGGCTCTGTAGGACGGCGATTCGAGAGTTGAAAAGACGCTGATAACTTTTCATCCCATTCGTCTTGTTTGTCCTGCTTGAAGTCTCGTTCTTGACGAATTACAGTTGAGCTCAAACATCTCAACCCCAGAAACTCAATTCGCTCCAACTTGAACGTCAGTTCATCTCAACACCAAACCCAAAGCAAATATCGCAACCACCATCAACACCAGCTCAAACAAAGCAAGACAACCCATCTACCCACCAAAAAAACCTCTCACACAAATCTCCTCCAAATATCTTCGTCAACCATGGCGCCGACACAAGCATCCCACCTCCCCACGACCCTCCGCTCGCCGACCCACCCACTCCTCCTCCGCACCCTGGAAGAATCCGATTTCGCCGCCGTCTCGGCCGTGCTCTCGGACCCGGAAAATACAAAGTACGACCCGCACGCCTCGGCTGTCTCCCCCGAGGTGGCCAAGATTGTGATTGCGAGGATGAGGGAGAGCGCTTCCGTGCCGAGCGTCGTCGACGAGGCGAGCGGCAAGGTTGTGAGTGGGCCGGGGAGGGTGAATTTAGTTGTGGTTCATGTTGGTGATGGTAGCGGGGACACGGAATCGTCGGGGGGAAAGGAGGAGCGGGGGGAGGAGGGAACGGTCATCGGGTTCGGCGGGTACGGCGGCATCAACGAGCACGGAGAGGACGGGCAGAGGATCAGAGTCGGCGACGTGGGCGTCATGGTTAATCCGGGGTATCGGGGCCGGGGGTTCGCGGCCGAGGCGGTGCGGTTGGCCGTCGAGTGGGGATTTAGGAGGGTCGCCGAGGGCGGGCTGCAGCTCGAGAGGGTGAGCGCTACGATGAGCGAGAGGAATGTGCCGATGAGGGGGTTGGTTGAGAAGAGGTTTGGGTGGGCGGGGGTCGTGAAGCCTGGGAAGGGGGAGGGGGATGGGGAGGTGTTTTTCGAGGTTACGGGGGAGACGTGGAGGAGGTGAACGGGGTTTGATGAACTGGGAAGGGTATCTGAGGTTTGTTTGAGAGCGGTCGGAGATCTGGGTTTGGTTTCGTTCTGTCTTTGTTGTTTCCCGTCTTGGTTGAGGGGCGGCTCGCGTTGAGTGTCTTGCTCGGGTTTATTCAAGAATGAAAGGGTGATGTTGCCCCTGAGTAGGGAGCTGTCGAACCAGAAAGAAATAGCGGCAGAAATCATTCTTGATTATCATGGAATTTGATGCCCATCCGAGACCTAGAATCGTGTGTACTATTCTACTGGGCGGGCTCCAAGGTTAGACTAGAGTCATCTTACAGTATGATCGTACGAGGCGCCTATGGTGTCTTGGCTTCGATGCCTCCAAAACCCAGGCCTGTAAGCTCATGTTTGTAGATCTGTAGGCGGTTTCTGGAAGGACACGGAATTAATCACGGAAAAGAGCATGATTACAAACACCCGAATCACATCGAGTACACATCACTGAAGTGAAGTTGAATGTCAGTTGTTTACTTGCGTCCTACGCAAAGCTCAAGACTCCCAAATAAGCACAATCACAGAATCAAGATGGTCGCCATCACCATCCTCACCCTCCTCCTCTCCATCCATGAAGCCCGAACCGCCTCGCCTCTTCACATACACCTGCCAGACCTCTCCCTTCTCCCCAACAACAGAATCCAGCAACAGCCATACGTTCCTCGTGCCCCTCCACGTCACGACTTCTTTATCCTCCGTAGAGTCGTGCAGCACGATACCCTCACCTAGCGGCATCTCGGCCTCCTGGCCGTATTGCATAGCCCCCTGGAGATCCGCATCGGCTTCCATGGGCACGACCTCGGACCCGGCGCAGTAGTGCGTGAGCGAGTACCCGTTCACCAGCACCCAGTCGTCGGCGAACCGGAAGCGCTGTAGGAAGCAGGCCTCGCCGCAGACGGACGTCACCGCGTGGCCCTGGCTGGGATCGAAACGGTGGCGGGACTTGTAGTGGCGGAGGGTCAGCGGGGAGACGCCCAGGTCGTAGGTCGCTGCTTGGATGTTGTAGAGGGCGTCTGTGGGGGAGTAGAAGCTCGGGAGAACGTGGAAGGAGAGGTCGGTGTGGGTCGTCACGCAGTCGTGGAGGATGCTGTCCCATTTGGTGTGGTTTCCGGTGAACCCTTCTTCGGGCCGGCACGGCAGGTGAGAGACGAGTAGGGCACCGGGCGGGGTGAGGAAGATGGCACCGCCGCCGTGGGTGACTGCTGTGTCGTTCTCGACGGACCAGTCTGGCCGCTCGCTGGGAAGCCCGATGTAGTATGGGCTCGAGGCGTCAAACTTGGAAAGCCTTTGGGTGAGCTGTCCTGGAGTGGGGAGGAAGATGTCGTCGTCCAGGAGGCCAAAGTACTTCTTGCCGTGTTCCTGCTCGGTCAAGGCCTCGTTGACATCCATGAGAACGGTGACCAAGTCAAGATATCTCGAAGGTTTGTCCCGTTTCTTTTCTAGTGGCACCACTGTAGCGTCTATGCCGAACGCTTGCAGCTTCTCGTATATTTCCCACGCCTCTCCACTGGTGGCTCGGTAAAGCGTCACGACGACAGTCGCCCCGTTCGATTTGCCATGGCCGTTCGTGAGCCACCTCTGCCAGTCCATGATGAGGGAGTCATTGGCGTTTGTGAGGCGCTTGTAAGTCGTGGAGATGCCGAACAGCAAATCGGAAGCATCGACGGCGCCTGGTAGTATGCTTGTGGTTACGGGAAGATCGTTTGCATCGCCCTTGGGGTACATATCGAAACTCTCGTCATCCCAACGAATGTTTTGAAACTCCTTGTCGGCAAACGCGCGCTTGATGTTTGTCGTTGGGAACCTCTGAGGGGCTTCTGGTACGACCCTGATCCTCTGAGAGTACCAAGATATGTTTTGTGTAAGACTGTGCCGCTCTGCAAATTCTCTCAGGTAGTCGCTGCCATGTACAGAAGTTTCTTTTTGGCTGGTCTTGACCACCGGCACAAGAGGATCGACGTCGATGACTTCGTAAGCATCTTGTCGACTTTTTGCAACCTGAATCAATATGAAAAGAAGGACAAGCAAAAACGTTACCGCGTGTAATGCCCTGGCATGGTTGTGATAAGCGTACATGGGCTGCATTGTGGGTGGAAGGGCGCCCATTTTGTCAATAAATCAAGGCCGCTGTCAAAAGCAACACTTGACGCGAACGAACAAACAAATCCCCCCATTCGGAGGACATTGCCATCTTTTTGAGGGGATTCTGAGGAATGTAGGCCACGATAAAGGGATGGTGCGTGGAATTCAGTCCGCCTCCGAGGTAGTGAGAGGTAGTGAGACACACCATACACACATCCGGCGAAACGCGTAGACTATGGCGCCTCCATGCCAAGTGCAGAGACACAACGCTGCTGCACCCAGAACATCTTCACCAAAGTATGCCTGAGCTGTATGACAGTCCTAAAATCATTCGAGTGTCTTGTTTTCAAACGTGTAAGACCAATATGTCGAGTTGCGTTGCTGCCAGTAGAATATCCACTGCAATGCTTCGTACCACTTCTCCCTGGCGATGAGTTTAGCTGGTGATGATGGAATGGCAAGGGCTTCTGTGCACAAATCCCGTTCAAAAGTTGTAGCAGAGCACTGAGGACAGTACTCCGTACCATCATGGCGCTCGATGCCCGACGCAGCAAGTTTGGTGATTTAGGTTTAGATGTGGTCTAGGAGGCTCTTTGTGGGGTTCTCGAGTAACGTCTGTCGACGGCCGGTCATGATGAAAATGGAAAGCCTCTTCGGGAAAAGAGTTAATTAAACTCGGGCCGACGAAACTGGATAAACGGGCCTGTTCATGAGATGGTTCGGGAGATGAGAGAGGGTGTGCAACCAAAAAGTTGGCGTCTTTGGGCCGTTGGGGAAGAAGACGGGCCCGGGTGCTTAGCTAAGGCGCTCTCCGTCTCCGAGACTTCTAAGGAAGGCGGGTCGCTTATGTCGACGCTTTCTTTTTGATGAGCCAAGAGAAGATCTCTACTCAAGGCAGTTTAGCATCTATGGTGCCTAATCGCTGATACGGTAATTGTCTGGATGCTATACTTGTGTCCTCGAGCCGTTGTTGTGTGACACAACCCCTCGTTCTACATCAACCTCAACATTAGAGCGACCCTTGCCAGCCTCCGCTCAATTCACAGCTTCTCGGAGATATCATCAGACATCGCACAAGAGTATCTTCCTTCTCCACACATTTATTCTCCTTCCGACGCCGTGCAACGCAGCAGTGGTGCAGCGCCGGCCACGACGAGTTTGCATCGAGGGCGAGCCGTAGAACCACGAGGTATCAGGTCGCACTGTGAGAGGTGACCGCCGTCACCTCCTCAGGCCAGTATCACAGAGACAATTATGTCCTTTGCTACTTGCGACTTAAGCTTAGCGGACTCCTTCATCATCCTGATTGGTTTCAAATGGATTTCGAGGCCTCATGTTAGCTTCTCTTACTTGGGAACGTAGAGTACAGCCTTGACCAGAATCGGGTTCTGGTGATCAGGAACAACGGTTATCAACATGTTCAAGCCCGGAGAACTCGAACACCAAATCTTCACTGCAGATTCGAAACGGAAGGAGATCTCGACGAGACCAGCACTCCCTAACATTGCTTGCTGACTCCGTGGCCTGATGGACTACGGATGGCCTTACTCTTGGCCGCCGCATAGGTGGAGCTGCTCATCCGTCGGTCGAGCTACACAATCACGCTTTTCATCCACGCTGTGTACGACTTACTCCCGAATTCTGCATGGAAAAAGAGCAAAGTATCCCGAAGACGATGCGCACGGCCGTCACCGCTGCTATTCTTAAGTCGCACTACGCATGGCGACGTCGCCACCCCTCTCCTGTCACTCACTGTGGTGTCACCGAGACAGGGAATGGCCATCTGAAACCACGATGGCATCTTTACCAGTACTTCCCTCAGGAGCCTCAACAGCGCCGGATTTGGCACTCTATTGGGCCCCTGAACATTTGGAACCAAAAACCACGGTCCAAGGCAGCTCGTTGTCGTCAGGATCTAGCGGGGTTGCCGTCTCTCTTTGCGGCATCGCCTAACGCTGCGAAACATTTGAACAAACGCCTAGATATCAATTCGTCAATCTACAACAAGGGTCCGAAAAGCGGCTGTCGTCCAAGTCTACTTCTATCCTTGCAAAGTAGATGAGCTGTCTTTCAGGGTCCATGACCCCGGCCAGCTCATCATTTAGTCCGTTTGCAAGATTGCCCAGCCTGGGGGCCGCGACCACGCCTGACTGAATGCTTGTCGAAAGTAGCGGTGCGCGGTAGGCCGCAGAAAGCCAATGCCTACTTACCATATTAACGAAGCACTAAGCAGGGGGTCCATTGACTCGACTATGGCCAATGCCGTTCTCCGTATTCTCGACATGCTGTGGATTCGTGAGTACTGCCACTCGTAGCATCACTTCAGCAACCCAGCGAAAGGTGTCAAGACAGTCGGATCTGTCCAGGGCTGATTCCATCAGGCCGATCGTGCTTGACCGACAACCTATTCGAATAAAGGTCTCCACCGTCTGGTCGATACCACTGTCGTAAGGAAGACTTCAGCCGATGGACCCGCTACGCCATCTTAGGGGCAGTCACCCAAGATAGACCGTACTCTTGTGCTTCCCATCGGACATTTTCTTCGTGCTTGTACGCAGACAAGCTCGTGGGGGAACAAGGAGCTTTCTGGTGACAGCTGCAGCCACCCCCTTCAAGAGGAGCCACACAAAAGCATGATACGGATCATGCTTCTCTCGAAGAAACCAGGATTATCTTAGCAAATCACTGGTCTGCCTACGGATATGCACATAGCCAGGCCACAAAGAAGATGATCCGGCTTTGGCGGTCTGACGAGAGGCCAACATCCACGCTCGCTCATAGGATTACGTGCCATTCGGAGAGGAATAGTCCAGTATTCACGATCGACCGCTAACGCGAAGGCTTTCAGTCATGGCAAACCGCAACTGGGCGTCTTTAGCATGTACTCTGGTTACTCTCTGTTCTTCAGGGCCGCGGTCGCGCGTGCCGAGTCAGGTTTATGTTGCCCTGAGATCTTCAACACTGCAGGATGACCAGCCTTGTTCCACCATCTCGAACAAGCTGTTAGAGTCAACGGCCAGATGGCACTCTATGCACCTATCCGCGAACCCGCTCTGCAAATCCCACCCCAGTGCGCCTCCAAAAAACGGGACCCATACCTGTTTGGTCTTTGCGGGAGCGTCTGCTGTATTTGCGCTTGCAAACTTCCCCAATGACTCTAGAGTTTTGGCGGATGAGCTCCACATTCTTCTGTGAAGCCTCTCAACGGACCAAATGTTTGAGCTGGTGATATCTGATGAAACCTGCCTAGCTTCGATCTCTGGCCTCTTCCAAATAGGCCCTCCCAGTATGGCTCAGTAGCTCAGATACCTCTCATGTTAGCACACGACAGGCTCACAGCTTGGCTGCTTTTGTGAGTTTTCTCCAAGTTGGGCGGACTTGCGGATCCTCCTGCATGGAAGCTTTCCCGGAGCCGTTTGGCCTACCCGGTTCTTCAACGCCGAGACGACACATGCGGTAACTTGCGACCACCACACAAGCATCAGCAGTAACATCACTTCATTAGACTTGGTCTCGTGAGTTCTCTTCCAAGGGAAACATATTAGACCGCCTTCAGTCTGTACTCTCCGTGTCTCCCACTTCCACCATCTTACCAGTCATCTATCACTTTGTAGCCTCACCTCGATAAGGCAAAAGAAAGAGCGGTGGCCGGTCACAAACGGAGACCTCAATGCTGAGAGGTCGATTCCAAGACACCGCAACAAAGAAATCTGCACCGAGAGCGTCGAAACTCAAGAAGAAGCCCCGAGCCCCGTACTGGAGTGCAGGATCCGTTGCAGAATTGGCCGTGTCTCCAAGAAAAGCGACAATCTCGAACCCCCTTGTCCTGGAAAACTTTGCCAGCGTGCTGCACGCCCGTGGATGTTGAGTCGCCAATCCCCAGAACGAAGACATCAAGTGTTTGCCGACTGCCAAAGACCTAGCAGTTACCTCTACACCTGGTCTCGCTATTGCTGCAGGACTTGTCTTAAGTCTTCCATCGTTCCCCCTCTTTTTAGGAACAGGTTCGCCTACGCCGGCTCACCAAGGTCCTGTCCGCATCGCAGCATAGCACCACCTTCGAGACATCTTCCACCGACAAACAGCCGGCAAGATGCTTTCCGTATCTTCTCTTCTTAACCCGTCGCCTCCAGGGCCGCTTCCTGCCCCTCGGTTCCTCCCAAGTCCTGCAATGTCCTCGCCGGGAACCTGCTACTCAGACAGAGCTCCGTCACCATATCTTGACCGACCCGTCGTTCCAAAGCTCAAGATGTCCAAGGATCCGTCTCCAGTATCCAAGTACAAGCCTCGTGGAGTCATCAAATACTACCCCTTTGAGAATTTGGACGACATATCCCGCCGCGAGGTCCATCGCTTTCGTGTCTCGCCATTTGGACGTATCCAGGAGTCATGTGCCCATATTCCATACAACAGCGGGAAGAAGGACTTCTTCGAGAAGACGGGGCGTGAAAGCTTTGAAGGTCCGTGATTCCAATGCCGAGATTCTCCGGCTGCCTTTGCTGATCGAGCTGTCTAGTTTTCAAGTATGAGTTCAAAGTGCCAGGAGAAGACAACGACTTCACTGTCATGTGGGACTACAACGTCGGTCTCGTCCGCATGACTCCCTTTTTCAAGTGTTGCAAGTATTCCAAGGTAGGGCTTCGTAACTCTATGATACGAACTCTACTGACATATACAGACTGTTCCGGCAAAGATGTTGAGCCTGAACCCTGGACTCAAGGATATCACGCACAGCATCACGGGAGGCGCAATAGCAGCTCAAGGTTGGCTGAAATGTCTCTTCCAACTATGAATTCTGGAAACTAACTGTTTCAGGGTACTGGATGCCGTACGAATGTGCCAAGGCAGTATGTGCCACGTTCTGCTACAATATCGCCGGAGCCCTTATCCCCATCTTTGGCCCTTCATTTCCGTCCATGTGCGTCCCGCCAGGCTCGCCAGAGTACCAACGCATGGTGATAGACCACCGTATCGTCGAAGACGCCATCAAGGATGCCGACAGGTCACGAAAAGTACATCACCGCGCTCTCCCGCCTATGACCCTCGGTCACATGCCCAACATTGAACGGCGCCCCATGCGACCCCTTCGCGACGACAGAAGACTCCGACTTAACACGACTCGTCTGATGAGCCCGTACAGCGATAACGACGGGGAGGGCGGCACTCGCTCGTGCCCAGACTCGGCGTCCAGCAACGGCTCAGACGGCGTCGGCTACAGCTACGGATATCACCAGACCCCGGCACGGCACTCGCAGCCACCCACTTCCGGATGGGTGGCTGCGAATCGTCCAGAGCCGTACCGCTCGGCCGACGAGATCTACCGCACAGCTCATACACCTCATCCGTACCTCAGCGCCGTTCCCCGCTTCACGCCCCTGAACAATAGGCACACGCCGGCCCCTCGTCCGCCGTGGTCACAAAAGCGTCCCGTCAATCACGACGACGGCGATGGCGGCTGTGACAGCAGCGTTGGCGAGAGTATCCACGTCAGCAGCCCCACGCCGAGCGTTCAGTTCGACACGCGGCGGAAGGAAGAAGAGTCGGACGCCGAGATTGCCGAGCAGAATGCTGCTCTGGGCCTCATGACGCTCAAGACGGCGTCTCGTAAGGAGTCTGGCTACCAGAGCGACTTGGACAGCTCTGACTTGCACCGCAGCAAGCGGCGGCGGGCCACGTCCGCTTGAACTAACTGGGGAGGACGGGACAAAGAACGGGAAGGGAAGTGATGGATGACTCGAACGACTTGAACGTATTCTAGATTTCCATGTTTTTGCTCGCGCACTCATTTTGTATTTCTGTTTCTTGGGTGCCCAAATAATGTTTCCGGATGGAACAGATCAACTTGAAAAGTCTATTGTCTCTGCTTTCCAGCTTCATTTCCGAAAAGTCGGGGGTTAAGTACGGTGTTTGGTGAAATACAGAAGCATTTAACAAAGTAGTCAACATGCCTGATCATCAAGACTTCCTTCTGCGCAACCGCAGCAAATGCCTTTCTTCTACACATTCAATCATCATGCAGTCAAGTCCAGCCCGAAGCCAGACTACCTCTTCTCCGCAGCCTTCTTCACCTTAAACTCCTCAACCCACCCCTTGGCCCTCGCCACAGGAACAACATACACCCTCACAATCCCATCCACAACCTCCACACTCCCGCCGCTCAAAATCTTCAGCAGCGAGGCCTTCTTACCAACCTTGACCAGCCCGCCCGCCGCCGTCTCCATGTAACACTCCACCCCGGCCGGGCTAGCATACTCCCCCTTCTGATCCCACGGCAGAGGCAGGATATACCCCAAATGATCCCCCACGCACTCCGTCTCGTTCCACGCCTTGACGAAATCGCTCTCCATCTGCAGGGGGTACAGCAGCACCGCGGGGAAACTCAGGCTGCTCGCCGGATCCTCCTCGTCAGGCACGAGCCTCATCCGCGCGTCCTCCATCTCGGGCGGCTGCTCCGTCGTCCGCGTCGTGATCCCCCGCGCGGCGAGCGCGGCCCTCAACAACATCTCCCGCCTCCTCTCCCCCGCCTTCCTCTCCTGCTCTCTCTTCGTCTTGGCGTCGGCGCGCTCCGCGGCCTCGACGATGTCCCGCGCCACGGCCTGCAGCGGTTTATTCCCCTCGTCCAGCGCCAGGCCCCTCGCGCACGCGTCGTCGGCCTCCGCGACGCGCCCGACCTTGAGCAGGGCGCGCGCGGAGCGGTAGTAGGCTTTCAGGTTCTTCGGGTTCAGCCGCAGCGCGAGGCCGCAGTCCGTCCAGCACGACCTGAAGTTGCCGAGCTCGAGGTGGCACGCCGCGCGGTTGACGTACAGCGACTCCAGGACGGATCTCTGCTTGGCGATCTCCTCCTCGTCGTCCTCGACCTCGACATCTCTTTCTTCGTCTTCTTCTCCCTCCTCTGCTGCGCCCTCGCCCTCAACCTTGGCCTTCTCCGTATGAAACGTCTTCTCCCCCTTCGCCCTCCTCTTCTCCTCCACCGCCAAAATCTCAATCCCTTTACCATAAAACTCTTTCGCGTCAGCATACATCTTGGCCTTGAAACACTCGTTCCCGCGCTCCTTGAACTCTTCTCCGTTCTCCCTCGCCGTCCCCTCGTACGCGAGCGCCTGCAGCGCCGCGACGTCGTCGTTCTCCTCGAGCGAGGTCATGAAGAGCGGGGACTTGTTCAGGTCGGCCAGGACTTCGTCGGCTGTTTTGCCGCTTAGCAGGGCGTGGCCGGGCGGGAGGGCCGCGCCTTTTGCTGCGCCGGGGATGGAGGCGGCAGCTGCTTGTGCCGCCGCCGCTTGCTCTGCGTCGCGGCGCTGGACTTCGGCGATCATGGCGTCGGCCATTTGGTCTGTGATTTCCTCCATCTGGACCATTGTTGCGGGTGAGGATGCGTCCCCGCTTTTCTTTTCTGCGGTGTGATTGTTGCTGAGTGTTTTCTGTTTCTGAGTTTGCCTGGCAATGGTCAAGTCGCAAACTGTCTGAGAGGCTGTGTAAACAACGGTTCGTCTCAGCTGAATGAGTTGCAGGTTGTGGTGTGAATCTGATGAGTCTCATATGAGATTTGTCGCTTGTTGTTTGTGAGCCTGTGATTGAGCGAAAAATTCGGAGGTGAGTTGAAGTTTGTGTGTGTGGTCGGCTTTGCGGTGGCGATTTTCATTGGGCAGATCTTTCAAATTCTGGAGTTCATGGAGGAGCTGCGAACCTCGTAGAATTCTGACTCTTCAACCTCACTTGAGCGCAGAAGAAGTTACTCTGAACAATTCATCGCAGCTGATGATTGATTCGGGTGATTAAATAACATATTCCGTTGATTTGGAGTTATGAAAATCACCTAGCCAATTCACACTCAAGTGGAAATGCCAAGTTCATCAGAATGACTTCAATTCTATTAGAGCGATTAACTAGTTATGGTAAATGACCAAGTAATAGCCGCTCCCAACGCCGAATAAATGCAACAAAACTCCATGCCCGCCAATGACCAAAAAAGCGTCTCTAGTCTATCCGACACTCATGGATGAGACCAACTCCAAAATTCGAGCCCCCATCCGTGACGCCGTACTGTTTCGACCGAAGAAAAGCAAACAAACTCCCCTTCTATAGCCCTTTCTCATGCTTTGGTTGGGTCGTGAAATCTTTTTTGAACTCCGTTTCGTGAAATCTCCCCGCTCAGACCATATTCGTCGCATTCATCTGACAACACATTCATTCCTCGTCCGAGAACACCTCCCTGATGCTGACTCGGGATTCCTTCTTCTGCAAGCAAGGCTGGGCGTCCTCCTCGCTCACATCCAACTTGCGCTCACGCTTCACGGAGAAGCACTGGATAGCACCAATTACAGCAACGACGGCACTGCCATACCATGCCAAAGCCGTGCAATCAACCTTGCTTCCGAAAGTGTACAGCCATCCGGCAACAGGCGGAGCGATCATGCGGAAGCCAGCGGCGGCGCTAGCGGCGAGACCGTTGACCTTGCCCAGGGCCTTGGGAGTGGGAGTGACCTCCTTGATCAAGATGAGGAGCAGAGGGTACAAGATGATGGAAAGGACGTTGCGGACAGCCAAGCAGAAGTAGATGCCGGCGTATATAAGCGACTCGGGAAGGAACAGCAGGCTCGGGACCATGACGTAGGCGATCGGGTGCAGGACGGTGACGATGATGAAAAGTCGGTAGACACCAAACTTCTCAGCGGCGAATGGGAAGATGACGGCCTGCACGAAGAGTGCAATGACACCGTTCACCGCCATGATCATGCCTACGGCGCGGAGCGAGAGACCCAAGCCGCCAGGGGTGTAGAAGGGGCTCGAAGCGTCGGTAAGAACGGTGATCGGGGAAGTGGCGCGGTCGTCTTCGAAGAAGATGGGCAAGAGATGGTCGTAGGTCATTGAGTGGTAGGTGAAGATGCACAGCGCCAGAATCAGCGACATGATGGGCTTGGTGTAGATGTTGTAGGACTGGTCGGCCTTCTTCGCGGGGGTCTGCGTGCTGCGACCGCGGACAGTTCCATAGTTGTCATCTCTCAGGTCAACGGCAGGTCTCTTCATGGCATCCGAGGTCTCCAGTAGGGGAGTCTCCTCGGAAGCGTATGTGTCGTCGGGCATGAAGACGCGAGGCTGCATGTCGGGGTGAGTCTCCTCGAGGAGCAAGTAACCCAGGATGATGCTGACGAGCAGGAGACCGGCGCAGACGAGGTTGGGCAGAAGGTACGGGTAGCGGTAGAACATGCCGTCGACGGGGAAGATGCTGGGAAAGGCGTCGTGGGGGTCGGCAAAGGTACCGCCAATAAAGGGACCGATGATTGTGCCAATAGACCACACGAAGGGCATGACCGAGAAAGCGCGGGCTACAAGATTAGCACAATGCGAGGCTTGGTGGTCAGGGGAGAGGACTCTTACGCTCATGCTCAGGCTTGGTGACCAATTCACCAACCATGGTCTGGATGACGCCGATGTTGCCGTTAAGAAGACCGCCGATAGCTCTGCCAGCCAGAGCAATCCAGATGTTGGAGGCGAAGCCGACCATGACCATGCTGAACATTGTGCCGACGCATCCCAGGAGAAGTACGGGTTTTCTTCCGATACGGTCAGAGAGACCGCCCCAGTACATGCCCATCAGGGCCTCCGCGAGGGAGAAGGAGGAGATGAGGAGGCCGGCGTAGAAGGATGCATCTTCAGCGTTGCCGATTTCGAATCTCTTGACGAGGGCCCAGGCGTAGGGGAAGATGGATGTGAGAGCGATGGGCTCGGCGAGACGAACAATCGCTGAGAGTGCGGCGTTAGTATGCGTGGCTGGAGAGAAGAGATGGTGTTGGGTGTGCATGTGGGTGTGTATGTGTATGGTTGGAACGCGGCAAGACAGGGAATGCCAGGTGAAGGAATGTGGTTGTGGCAGTAGGGAATGCAGTGGTGGATGGACGTACCAAGGAGGAAGAGCTGAATGGTGGGAAAGTCGTCTGGGTTGCGAGGGCTTTTCTGCATGGTTAGGGCCATTGTCTCTCGACTTGGTTCAAGTCTTACGATGCGACAGAACACTCGACGAAGAATCTACTGGAACGTAGGAAACTTGAAGAATGAAATGTCGGGATGCGTGTACGCTTATACACGTTTCCTCCTGTCCAGGCCGGCGGCGGTGACGTCTTGTAGGATGCGACTACACAAGAAGATGTTTCGTCCGTCTTCAGAAGAGATGTTGTCGAGGGAGAGAGAAGAGGAATGTTGGCAAAGAGCGGAAGCAGGAGAGAAGGGGAGGTAAATATTGGTTCTTGGACGTGGATCCGTGTACGATAACGGCCTTCTCCCGAGTCTCGCAGGGTGGGAGGGTGGAAACAAGCGCTTGCAGCAACCCGGAGTGCCTGATGGAGCTAGAAGAAAAGAAGACTGGCGGATGCAAGCGGGAGAGGAAGCCGGCGGATGCAGTAGAGTTGCGCGGTGGGATGGGAGAGAGTTGCCGGAGGTCACTGGTGGGAGGAATGCATATGACGGGCGGCGTGAGCGAGATGTTTTTTTTTTTTTTTCGTCCCGTCTCGCTTTCTTTCCTCGTCTGATACGACTTACACCGTCCCGTCCTTCAGCACACAGTGACACAGTGTGGCGGGGCTCTCTGCTCAAGTGGGATGGATGGAGTGCATCCTGAGTGATCCAGGTTGCAAGGATCGCAAGACTTCAAGAGACAGCCAGGTGGAGAGAACAGGGGAATTGCGGTTTCCAGACCGACGGCATCCGAGGAAAGCAGCAAGTCTGGCCGCGCGACGACAGGGAAGGAGCCATGGAGGGGGGAGCTTCGACTGATGGACTGCGCCTGCACGGACTGAACGATGCACCTCACGCAGCTCATGCGCCAAGGTACCGCACCTCAGACTCTCAGTCTACTGCGTAGTACGGATAGGGTATGCAGATATGCGGAAGAAGAGCAGATTTCGGCCTGGGATAGTTGCATAAGTGGCGCTGCCGCTGCCGCTACCGCTAAGGACTACGGATACTCCATGCAGGTGACGGGGGAGGGATCTTGCGCTAGTTTAGCGTCCTTTTTTGTTTTTTTTCTCTCTCTTTCTATGCTCCCGTCACTTTCTCGTTGCAAGTTCCCAAGTTATCATGTTCTCTCCACCACACAGCTCCAGAGAGTCCAGGATGCTGAGTGCACGGGCTCTAGAGGAATATCCGCTTACAAGTTGCACTACGATTCCTTATCGATGCAGTAGCTCTTCCGTCGATTGTCGTGTCGTGTGAGAGACTCAGACGGGAGTGTGTCGTGTGTGGTGGGTTTTCTTGCTCGTTCTGACTTGACGGCGGCTGATCAAGGTGAAGTGCGATGCATCAAGGTGGAGGAGGAAAGAAGACCGGCTGTCGGTCTTCGGTTCGTCGGATGGAAGGAGCGCGAACTAGACACTTGCGACGGCTTCCTTCCCATTTCCTTTTTGTCTCCGACCCAACTGACCACCATCAGCAGCAGCATCACCACCACATCACACGCACGCTTACTCCAAGGATCTTCCAAACCTACTGCCGCCTGCAACTAAGAAAGCAATCTGCGCCTACCTTATTGACACTCCGCATACTATTGCCGGCCGCCAGTCATTGACATTGCACCCCTCCCTCCATCGGAACATTGGATGATGAGTTGTTAGTTCTCGAAACCACGACAGCCTCACTCAAAAAGGAAATTCATCTTCACCGAAAAACAAGCCGGTTCGTCCTCCAACAACCAGCCCCAACGCACACTCCGCCTCCTCTCTCCTCTCTTCATGTCAGTCCGCGGCGGTCATCATCATGAGCAGTCAAAAGATTTCGGTCAACGTCACCGAAACCCGTCACCAGCGGATGACTACCGATTGTCCCACGCGAGTGCCGGGGACTGGTTTCCGGTCCCCCTGGCTGAATGCAACGACTTCACCGCAAGGATTGCAACAAGCACACAAGATACTGCATGACACGACCAGCATCGACCGACAAAAGCCTTGAGAGCTCCACGGATCATCAGTTTTGGGCCGGTCCAGAGTGTCTATTGAAGCACCAAGGGCGGCTTCGTCTGCACAGCGAAATTACATACCCTGCCGATGCCTGCCCGTTGTCGCCCACTTTCTCACGACTTTCCATGCTCCTTGCTCCTTGCTCCAATTCATGGCCTAATTCTGCCATGGGTGCTGGTGCTATTGGCTGGCGGCTCCGACGCACTTGGGACGGCTGATTGGGACAAGTTTCTCTGCACTGTGTAAAGCCCCAGCTATTCTCATCGTCTAGCGTGCGCCGCATCCTTGTATGCGAGTTCGTTAGTCATTGGACCTCTTCATTGGACCAAAGGCTCGTCGCACCAGCACTTCCCGACTCCCGTTGACTCTCAAAGTTCCCACCTTTGGCCGTCTTTCGCAGTCTTCTTCCTCCTCCTCCTTCTTCTCCGCCACCATGGACTGCATCGTCCACATTTCCTGGGCAGCAACCTCGACAACCACTTTTGGAGTGTGTTATGCGCTACTGCGACCCAGCATGTGCGCACTTCAGACGACACCGGACCATTGTTGCGAACCCACATGGAGCGTCCACGAAGACCACGTCGCCTGACAACCACCAATTCCATTTTTGTCATTTTTTACGAGTCTAAACCGCTATGCCACCCAACACTTACTTCTCGCCTGCTGCCTTACTTTATGGCTGGGGACGAGCAGAGCCACCCCTTCAGACTATACCAATCTCCCATTCCAAGGACTGTGACTCTGGGTAGCCCTCCTACAGTCTTTTTCTGACAAGATGCGGTGTGCGAGGGCCATAGCTATGACGATGTTGTGGAACCTTTCAAGGTTCAGGTTGCCCGAGGCCAAGGGCTCACAAGTGAAGCGATCGGTTCAAAACGTAGCAGATCTTGAACAGAAGCCATCCCCAGTCAAGCCTGGCCCCAGCTTCAAAACAATCGTACACTACGGATACATACTCCGTACGGATAAAGCGAATAGCAACACAGAAAGTGGACGAGCGGCAGTCAAACCAGGGCCAGCACAAGGTCGCAACTCGCAAGCCCGTTCATCCACCTTGCAGGCCCTCTTAGCGCAATCAACCCCAGCGCCGACCTCGGTGGTCCCCAGTCCCCCGTCGATGCATTTGTTAACAGGTAAGGAACACTGTTTAACTCCATCGTTTTACATTACTAGAGGATTGCCGCAGTACATATAGACGCTACCCTACCCTCGAATTCCGCACTATTTAACCTTAACCCTTTTCTTACCTATCCTTTTTTCTATTCTACCCTCTTTTTTATTAAAAAATTACTAAAATCGTAGTTTTAATAACTTATTAATAAGCTAATATTATTATTTAAAAATAAGTAACTTATTTTTATATATAAGTACTAAAAGTCTTATTATTATAAAAATAATAATAAATATATTAAAATATTTAAAAAAGCTTTTTAATAAACTTTTAATATTATTTAAAATAATTATTTTTAAATTATAAAAAAAAGCTAAGGTATTATATTAATACGGCCCTATTTATTTTATTAATATTAATAATACCCTTTTTAATATAAAATATATTAATAATACTCTATAACTATATTACTACGCTTTATAAATCGTACTTAATAATAACGAGGATTTTAGCGTTTTTTTTTTAAGTTTTTTATTAAAGTTATTATTATAAAATTAGTTTAGTTATTAATATTTTAATAAATATTTTAACTTAACTTAAAAGCTCTTATAGTTCTTAATAAAAGGCTTTTAAAAGACTTATAATTAGACTTTTTACTTATTATAAATAAAGTTATTATAATTAAAACTATAATAATTAAAACTATAATACTATTTATAAACCTCGATAATAAATAGTTAATAATATAATTATTTTTTTTTATAATAAACTTAAAAAAATATCTTAATTTAAGTACTAAATAAGTACTATATTATTTTATTAAAACTATATTCTTATACTTATGACTTAGAAAGAATTAACTTTCTTTAATAACAAGGTACTCAGATAGGCAAGGAAGCACTACGCAGCTGCCCTACCTTTGCCCTGCCTTGTTCTGCTTTCCGCATCAACGTTCCCTTTTATCCGTACACTACGGAAGGTCGGGTTTAACAAGAGCTCGCTGTCCACAGTCTCGAGGCCGATGCGACGCGACGCTCGTCAAATCTCCCAAGCTGCACCTCTTTCATCAACATTAGCTACAGTGCACCCTGCATGCCTGCGTGCCTGCGTGCGTCCTGCCCGGTGGCAGAGACAGAGAGGTCAACCCAAGGCTGTTATGGCCTCACCTTAGGTCGCAGGTGGTATATCGTCCTTTTACCCGGCTGCGAGATAACGCTCCTCGTCCTCGCGCCCTAATGGCACTGCCTGCAAGCTTATCTCACATCTGGGCTAAGGTATCTCATTCTTACGCCAGCATGAAATTATGCTTTCCGCAACTCACCTCGAGTGACACGCACCACCACGATCGTTAGCGCCGCCCGCAAGCCCGTACCCACCGCTACGCTCCGTGTTTAGTTCTCCACCGCCCACATGCAACGCCGCTAGAGAATCCCGGAATACGGCTTAAATGCATTTACCGCTTATCCTTCTTCGTACGGACAGTCCTCGGTAACAAGCTCGCCGAACCTCCATCCTCTTCCCAAGTCCCAACACGAGTGCTGGGCCGCCATCCAACTCCACCGACTTTTTCGACCAACCTGTCCTCCCACCAAGTGCGTCTCCCACCTCGATGGCTGCTTCGTCACAGCTCCCTCCCTCTTCTCATTCTCTCGAACCGCTCCTTCAACCCAGAATATCATCAAATAACCCCCGTTTCAGCGACGTTGGATCTGTTCTTCGCCGCCCCGCATCCCCATCTGCAGGCATCGTCCTCCGGCTGGCCCCACGACAGGGTTCCTCATGGGAACTTGCGCTAGTTCCCGTTTGGAATCCTTGGAGGGGTGTGAAGCCGTGGGGAGTGGCGTGGGTGGCACTCGGTCGCTAACGACGCTCTTTGACTATCGTTGCCCTTTCACACGTGTAGAGATCAACAG